TATTTCTCTGAAGCTTCTTCCGGTTCTTTTAAACCAGGAACTCTCAATGAGACGAAGTAGACTGCTTTAGATTTTATAAAAAATAACCGTGCTGGTTTATTCAGAGGAACACAGGTAAAATTTACATTACACGTCCAGATCTTTCTCTCACCCTCTACCTGCGCGCAGGCAGCAGAAAAAGATCAAGATGTCTGGACCACCAAACCTATATAATCTTAATCATTTTTTGGGCTAGCCCATGCTACTCGGGGCGTCAAAACCGTGACGTCACCTGATAAGCCAGCTTTGCAGCTGGCTATAACGTTAGCCAAAACATGAGGAAAAGTCAAGGTGTGTGACTGTTGTTTTCGTGGTGTGTATCTAAAACAATTGGACATAACCTTACACATTAAGACAAATATTAAGACTTGCATTACAGTTGACACTAACAGCTCTTTTCCTGTAACCTTGACCTGCCTGCAGTCTGCACTGCAAGCACATTTACTGAACAGTTAACAGCCTGAGCTAGACAATCTGTCTGCACTAACATTTCTAGACAACCAATCTCTGAATATCTATCTAACTATGAAATAACCTAACAATAATTTATTTGTATTATTAATCAATCAGTTAACTTAGAGTGATTATTACAATGTTTTTAAATGGGAAAAACCGGAGTACCCGGAGTAAACCCGTAACACAACAGGAGGAGAATAGATCCCCCCCATCCCAAAATCTACTGGGCTATTAATCAATTAGATCGATCATTTTAATTACAGTGATGATTTAAATGTTTTTAGATGGGAAAAACCGGAGTACCCGGAGTAAACCCAAAACACCAGGAAATGCTTTTTCCTAAGACAAACTACTTCCGGAAGTGCTTGCAGATGGACTTGCGCACATTGGAAAAGAACCTGCAGATCTTGTTGCCTTTCTTTGGTGGGTTAGTCATGTGCTTTTTGAGAGTGTGGGCGATGTAATCTTCAAATGATGTCCCATTCACTAACAACTCCAACACCACGTTTGTGTTCCTGATTTTTTTGCAGAGGTCCTTGTACACATTTTTGTCCAGGTTTTCGAATGCTTCATCATTAAAGTCTAAACCTTCGCCCTCCACTAGAGCCCATGTTTTGTTGAACAGTCGCTCCCCGCGGATATCTATTTGATCCATAGAGATCTTGACACCTGCTTTGTTAACGAGCCTTAGAAGCAGATTATAAACAGCTACAATGCTGTACAGCCCGTGTCTTAGTCGTGCCATATCATCATCATCATCATCATCGTCTGAGTCTAATACCTCCTCACCTTCCGGGGAAAAGCGATAAGCCTGAACTCCTTCCTCTATGCGCCTCATCACTAGCGGCACCAGACTT